TCTCTCTCTCTCTCTGCCTTCTTCTCGCTCTTTTTTCGTCTCGCGAATCTCTTTCTCCCGGGCCGCGCGGAGGAAAAGCGTGGAACGCGAAAGTCACGCAGATCTCGAGCGGCGAAACAGACCGGCAAATCGAGACGCTGATGTCGAACTGAGCCAGTGGCGCTGTCGTTAATTAACTTCGGCCATTACCACAGCGGCGAATCGTTCGATAATTGCCTTAACTGTTCGATAATTGTATCGCAATCTCCAAGATTGACTCCCCCTTAATTTTTACTTAGCTGCTAAAGAGATATTTTAAATACTTTACACGTGCAAAATAAACAAATTAACAAATTCGCGAAGGAAAATGAAAAATTTCTTTTCCCCCCCCCCTCTCCTTTCGAACGATCTTCTCATACAAGTGAACAACAAAAGTATCGCCATCTTTTAATTATCAACACATCGAAGTTCAGAAGTTACACTGATTGACTTCGTAGCTACAATAAAAAGTGACGTACATTATTTTTTTAAATTTATCTTGGAATTTACTGTATGTTCCCATGATAAATGAATCCATGATAGCGATTAATTTATTCCTTTTAAAGATCGATAATCGATCGTACTCTTTCGTAACGAAGTTGAGAAAGTCGATCAGTTCAGCACCTCTGAGAATCTTGCATTGTGTAAAATGGATTTTACACGTATAATTCCGTTAACGATGAAATAAAACTCTGACACATTTCACTAAAATTCAGTGAGCCCTTAACGGATTAATTAACTTTCATTACTTCAAAATACGACGATTAAAGTATGAAATTCCTATCTAAGCATAAAATTAAAGTGCAAGAGATAGAAGTATCCAAACTATATTTCACGAAAGATCATTCGTGATCTCTAGAAATGCGCGCCGACGAAAAAAAAAAATCGAAATCAACTCGATTCCGATTTTCTAGTCATCACTCTGCTAATTTCGGTATCAAGAGTCTCGAAACGCAAACAGTTTACAGTTTACATTGTAAAAGCAACGTCGATCGGTCAAAGTCGAGATTTGACCGAGTTCGTATACTTTCGCGACCCGATTCGATTCGAATTTGGTTGGCTGTTCGGTTTCAATCGCTACCAAGGGAGCGATTCGGTGTTAAATATCCCGACGTGCGGAAATTCCATTGGCATGATTCCATTACACACGGCCGAACGCGAACGTTCGTTTGTCGCGTGTGCGCAATCCTTCAACGACAACACTTCGCGAGGCGATGTCTCGGCTGAATAGCTGTCTCGCTTTATACCTTTGCAGTTTCGCGCCGCGAAGTCGCGACGTGTCGACGGAGAAACAGAGGACGAAATCGGCTGATCTCGTGACGACGAGATTTTCAGTTTGAACGAGATGTTTGCCAGGCTGCCTCTGCCTCCGTGTTAGGCACATCCTTCGTAAATACTCTCTCTCGCGAACAATTTGAGCCGCGAACTTTGGTAATAACGTATCGCGCTGCGAGCATGTTCCGAATAGTGCTGTGCGCAAAGTGGTAACGCGAAGGATTCTGCGGTGGCTGAGTTCGAGACGAGGCTGCTCCGCGTGTACATGTTTTACTTGCGAGTAAAAATTTTCCATTCAAAGTATTCGCACGATGGATGAAAAATTATTGACATTTCAAACCGCTGTCCGTGAAATAATCCAGTTGGCCTCCACTTTGACAGCTCTACGTTAGTCTCTTTCAAAGATGATGTTTTCCAATCATACAACGAGTGGATACTTCTTGTTCTCGGGGATTGTTAAAGTTCAAATGCCTTTTGGAAGCGTTAAAAAATTTTTTTCTCGAGATTAAATTATTTTTCCACCGTGACTTTGAAGGTCGAAGCCTCCTCTTTGCAACGATCTCTTAAAACTTAAAATTTCATCGAACTTCGAGCATTAGGGTTCGAAATGGCAAAACGTTTGGATTCCTTGAATTTTCCTCTGCTCGACTATTCAAGATTCGATAAAATCGTACAGCAAGTTTCAGAGGGTTGATGTAACGGGAAGACTTCGGTCTTCGAGATTATGGTCGAGATCTAGCTACGAAAAGAATTTTTCAGTGATTTCGGAGGTGGTTAAATTTTTACAGTCTTGCAGTATATTTCACATGTATGATATGTTTCACGAGTTGTTTATAACAATTAATAATTTATAACATTTAAAACATCAATAACTTTTCATTGAGAAATTTCATTCTGTTCACGTTTGTGGAAATAGAATTTCTTTCGGCAATCGGCGAATCATTTCAGTTGAATTGGAATTTCTGAATATTCAATAGCTTGAATATTGTTATCTTGCTGCAAGCATATTCGCGATAGACTGTAGTGATAGAGCCTCTATTTTTCGAATATCATACAATATTATCGGAAGAAAATTCTCGCAATTAGTAATTAAAATACTGTGATATTGCAATTGGTAATCGAGAAATTTCTTACAATTAATAATTAAAAGATTTACTGATCTGTTATTCTGATACAACTTGTTCGAATTAAAATAGGACTAAAATATTCAGGAAAAATAGAGATTCGCACAGAAGGAAGGAAAAAGTGACGCGATGGATTCTGCGATAGTTGAGTTCGATTCGAGACGACGCGAATAAAGTGAAAATTTTCTATCGAGATAGAAAAAGAAAGAAATAGAATTCTCCCTGGTACTCGGACGAATCACTCTCGGTTAGACTGCCGAGTTTGAGAAATAGATCTCGAAACGAGCAGAGAAGCTTGGAAATTTTCGTGTCAATTATAACACGGTAGGGTTAGACTCACGTGTCGCCAGAAGAAGATAAATCGCTGCGACTAGACCAATAGCGGAGAGCCGAGTCGTGGACGATGTGGGTGATTGTGTCGTCATGGCGTCTTCGTGGTTACTGCCGTCGAAAGTGGCCGTTGTGGATCCAGGTAGCTTTGTCGATCCCACTACGATCACCGGCTCGCCTTGCCTCACCTCTCGCTCACACGATCTTTCCCTCTTTCTCCTTCGACGTCTCGATCTCTTTCCCTTCGCCAGGCTTCTCTCCCTACTGCTCCCTACTTGCTCCTTCGAACCCGTCATTTCGCCTTGCCTTTTCCCTCTTTTTCGTCCAACCCCCGATGTTTTCGTTCCCTCCTTTCTTCAATTACTCCGTCGCTCCTCTGCTCGAAGATCTGCTCCTCTCTGGAGGATCCGCGCATAGAAGGGAGAAGAGACGATAGTTTGTCGACTGTGATACTTGCTATACATTGTCATAGCTTTGTACACTCTGTTTGTTAATTAATTATATATCGACGATACATGGAGATGTATTTTTTTGAAAGTGGAAACGTAAAGTTGTAAGATTCGAGGTCGATTGTGAAAAGAAATGGATACAGTGGCTCGCGAAAGTATCGTAAGAAACTTGTAACATGTACGATTTTGCGGTTAGCAAGGGAAAATGGTTCGCGTGTTGTTTATTCCAGAGAAGCTTGCGTTATTTGAATTTACGCATTAATTTCGATTTGCCGAGAAATTTATGTATCGTTGGAAGAGAATTTTAAATAATAGTATCTTGGAAGTGAGAGCACGTGACACGCGGCGTTTTTGTTTTTTTTTTTCGTACAAGCACGAATATACATTGTACCTATCTGTTAAATAAAATAAAACTTTTCGAAATTTCGAATTAATACTGCAATGAGTTTTAACATTTTATCGAGTTGCTCGTAAAATACAAAAAAAAAAAAAGACAAAATATATACTATTTTGTAAAATATTTTGATTTTTAAAAAAAATTTTACAATCTTGTTACCATCACTATTTTGACAAATATATATTATTTGCGTGGAATTAGTTTGTGCTTCAATAGTTATAACTTTGTTAAAAAAAGGATCATACAACAATCTATTTAGTCCTATTTTAAAACGTAAAACTCCTGCTTTCACTCTCTGAAATTTGTTTTCTTTCTAAAGATATACACCATATCACCAAGCAAATAAAAAAATATTTTTTTCTTTAAAAAGAATTGTAAAAATTCGCACATATGTAAAAATACTAAAAAATTTTATGTACAAATAAATCCATCTTGAAGACCAAAGTTTCCCATTTACAACAATCTCTTGAAACTTGCTGTACAGTTTTTTTTTCATCATCATTTTATTAAACTTTGAACATTAGAGTT